CTTTGCGAGCAAGTAATAAAGTAATTTAGGTTTTTTCCACCCCCAAAATAAAATAAGAAATCTTAATTTCCTAACAGAATTTTGTATTTATTCAATTTATGCTCTCCACCTAGATTATAAAGAACATTAGAAAATATATAGCTCCTTATAAATACCAATATTGTGCCTCAAGATACAAATCCTTACTTGTGTGAAGTCCCCCGTGAAGTATTTGCTACTTCTGGCCTAGCATAACCAAGATAATATCTAGCTTTGTTTTAAATTTCATAGCCACAGACTATGTTGGGGAATGTAATTCCCCACTCTTAAGAAAGAAACCAGATTGCTGTGGTAGCTGCTGTAAATTATTTGCTATAAACCAAGCCGTTCCAACAGCTCACCCTGTGTTCGCTCCTGAATGGTCAATGGGCTTTTAGGGCTAGGAAAAAATAAGGTTACTATTTTGGATGCTGAACTAGAACAACCACCTGTGGTAGAAACTACAGAAGGTCAGTTTTCACTCGCCAGATGCATAAAGCTGCTCAGTGGTTCTGGGACGGGGACCATTCAGGTCATTACGGGCTAATGACTCAGTGCATCCAGCCACAGATCTGTGAGAAATCCAGACCCACGCCCTTTTATCCTGTCTAGAAGCAAAAAATTTGCACTGTTTTCATTACCTTTCAGCTCCCTGGCCCCATTTACGCACAATCAGCTCACCAACAATACTGGACAATATCTCCATGATGTGCCTCTTTGGAGAGAGGTGGTGAAAACAATACTATGGCTGTAGTGATCGGGGCATGGAGAAGCAAATTACCATTCTGTGGCATTTGTCAGTCTTACCTGGTGCAGAAGCCATGCAGAGGGCAGCTGTTTCCTGACTGCTCGCCTCCTGCTCTGGGTTAGTGGGTAGAGCATTAGACAGGCACTGAGAAAACTTGTGTTCGGTTTGTAACTGGATAATCTTGCATAAGTCACTTCACCCTGTTGTGATTCATTTTCTATCTATAAAATAGAGTTAAAGCAGTTTACAAAGGAGGTCAATGAAACTCAGATCTACAGTTGACCAGTGCTTGCATGATTTATTATAACACTTCAACCCCTTGCTGTATTTTTATGCCAACAGGCCATTAATCTCCTGTCTGTTCCACCTCCCACACCATTTCCTTAAACGTTTAGGGCAGAATCTTATTTCATTCTGCGCACCCATACAGCACATTTCCAGCTGCAAAAAGGCCATTTATGGCACTTATGCACAATTTGTCATTTTATTCCATGTGTGGTGTGTGCGTCCATACAGCTAATGAGCAAGTGTGGTAGCCTGCACTCTAGCTAGCCAGTAGGGGTGTGCGAAGCAGGCGTATTCAATTTGGATTCAGCCCGAATCAGGGACAGTGATTCGATTTGTTGATTCGGATCACTGTCCCTGATTTGATTCAGCCAAATCTGAAGATTCGATGCCGATTCGGAGAATCAGTGATTTGGACATAGAGACAGCTTTAAAAGTTTTTTCTACATGCCTCAAGGTACCAGCACAGCTTGTGAATGCTGCCATGCTGGGGTGGATGGAGTATCCCACCGGAGAGCTGGGGGGCCCTCCACGTGCTTGGGAGCGAAACCAGAAGTGGACCCAAAGTACTTGAGGTCCACTTCAGGGTCTGCTGGGAAGTGCGCTGCCCTCCCCCCCCGCACCTGACCTAGCTTGGCACTTGGTTGTGGAGGGACTCCGGGTGCCCTCCCCCCCCCAGACCCAGGAGGCACCAGTCGCCAAGCTGGGTGGGTATGGGGGAGGACCCCCTGTGTGCTCCCCGGCAGACTCATAAGGGCTTTTGGTCTGTTTACGGGTCTGCCGCTAAGCGTCCTGGGGACCCCCCGCGCTCCTGTGGGATGCTCCATGTGCCCCAGCATTGCAGCATTCACAAGCTATGCCTGGCACCTGGAAGTATGTAGAAAAAACATTTAAAGCTGTCTCTATGACTGAATCACCAAATCTTTCCAAATCTCTCTCAATCAATTTGGAGGGTTCTGATTTGATTTGGAGAGATTAAAGGGTCCTCTGATTCGATTCAGATTTGGAGATTCGGCCACCAAATCTCCACCAAATTGGATCAGGGACTGAAGCTTCACACAGCCCTACTAGCTAGGTACATGGCTCCATACCTGCATATGTTGATTAAGTCACAAAATTGTCCCCACCAAATACATGGCCAGTGGGTGTGCAGAGGAGAGGGTACCCATGTCTTAGGTCCAATAGCTTAGTGGTTAAGAAGACACCTACCAAGGAAGTGGGGGAGAGAGATTCTAGAGGGGAAGCTGAACATGCACAATGCTCTAACCATCAAGCCAAAGGTTAGGTACTATCCAGTTCCTTCTGAAGCTGGTTCCCCAGGCACCCAAGAGATGAAGACAGGTAAGCCAAGGCAGAAAAATGCCAACTAGAGGCCATGGCTCAGTTTAATAGAACCTGCCACTGGGATACAGCTTCAGCCTTGGTTTTGAAGCTGACCCACTGACAAACAAGGAAGGCAGATATATAGTGCCAGGATGAAGAAAACAAGCTGGAGCAGTGGTTCTCAACCTATTTGCCATAACGGGTCACACTTGCAGCTCTCAGTAAGTTGTGTTGGTGCAATCCACAACACATTTTCCCTGTATCCATTAAAAATGTTTTGTATCTGTTACCTGAGAGTAATGCAGTACAAATCAATATTCTGCAATACCTCTCATTTCCAGGCCATAGCAATGTGCTGACTGGGCTGCATGTAGCCTGTGGGCCATGGGTTGAGAACCACTGAGCTAGAGTGTGTGGGGGTCAGTGAGATGGCTGTTGCCTGGTTTCTAGCAGGGACCAT